GTACGAGTCGATGGCGTACCTGCCGACGCCCGGGTAGATTCCGATAGGGGTCTCGGGGCACTCGCGGGCGCGCGCCTTGAACCGGTTGCGCGGGTCGTGGGGCACCTCGACCATCTTTTTCGACATGTCAATCAGGCGGCGGGCGCGGATGTTGTGCAGGCCCAGCGGCTGGAGGAGAGCGGTGAGCTCGTCGAGCGGTGCGTCGGCCAGCGCGCCCTCGTCGGGCCAGCGCGCCACGAGGTGCCAGAAGACGGGGATGGCGGCGCGGCCGCGCGTCTGGTTGAGCAGGCACGTTGCCACCAGCAGCCAGAAGACGTTGGGCGAGACGAGCTCCTGGATCAGCCCGTAGAAGTTGGCCGAGCGCTCCATGCCGTGGACCGTGCGGGGCTTGGATTGGGGCTGGCCGGTCTCTTCGGCGGCCGTGTCGTCGCCGGCTGCTGTTGTTGCTGCCGCCGTGTCCGACGAAACAGCCTTGCGCCGCCGTTTGCGAGGTGGACGTTTCGTGACTGGAGCAAGGGCATCCTGGTCGTCGCCGCGTTCCGCTCGGTCTGCAAAGTACGGAGAGCGCTGCCCTGGCCGACGCTGCTGCCTTGTCCCAACGCGCCGGGCCGGGGCTGTGCGGCTAGGAGCAGGAGGAGGTGCAGAGTGCGAGGCAGGGCGGTGACCTTGGCGTTTCGGGGCAATGTGCGGCGACGCCACGACGGGTGCGGCGGCAGCACTGGCGCGCGATCGCGAGCGTGTGGTGACCATGTTTGGCGCTGTGGTCCTCCGGACGGCAGTGTTACATGGCGATGCCGAGACAAAGCCCAGCGGCGGGGCTGCTTGGCGGCGAGCTGGTAGACGACGGTTTGGCCTCAGGTCAGCTTGGAAGTGGTGGTAGTCAAGAGTGCCAGGTCACGCCTGGCCTCCCTCTGTGTGGAGGAACAGCCTGGCAGACTCTTGGTCACTTTCACCGGCCACAAAGAAGCAGGAAAAAGGCCGGGGAAATCCCTTGTGGCTCGGTTCGCAGAACCCGGATTTGGTTCAAACCACCCCGCCTTCCCCGGCTCCAAAAAGTTTTCGGCCTCGAGCAGAAGGCTCAGAAAGCGCAGGAGAAAAAGACATGACCAGCCTGGGGCTCGAACCCAGAATCTCCTGATTGCGAACGCAAGGAGCACAAGGCGTGTGTGCTATGATCGTAGTCAGACGCCTTACCAATTGGGCCAACCGGCCATTTTATGTGCAGGAGTCGAGTGTTTGTGTATATATTAACGTCCCAATAGAGCTAGATTCGGACACCCTGGAGGGTCCAGTGTGGCCAACATCGAGCCGGACGACTGCCGCCCGCATTCGCGACCCAGCTACCTGGAGCGAATTGAGCCTCCACCATGCTGGTCTGATCACCCCCGGACCTCGAAGTGGCCTCGCCTGTGTCGCCTGCGACCTGCTAGGGACCTCACTGGATGCTCAGAATTTCATGAACAAGGGCATCCGCTACTGTTGAAACAGGGGCGGGATGCCTTCGCTCTCGAGGGCCTTGGTGGTAGCCTCGCGCTGCTCCATCATGCGAGCAAACACCTGCAGCCTGGGGAAACGGTGCAGGGCTCCGGTCTCGACGAGTTCGGCCCACCTAGCGATGAGATAGACAAAGGGGTCCACGACGGAAAAGGCGCCGGCGACGACAAAGCCGGGTTGGGCGGGCAGGCGAGCTTCGATGTCGGCCAGCGCGTCGAAGATAGTCTGCCTGCCCTTTTGCTTGACGACGGGTCGGACGTCTTCCCGGTCGGTGAAGCGGTAGGGCCGGAAAAAGGCCGCAAACGCAGTGGCGTGGACGTGCGACGAGAGGAAGCCGAGCCACTCGTAAACCTTTGCCCTGCCCGCGATCAGCCCCGCCGATGAGGAGCCCTCTACCCATTCCGGGTGGTGGGAGAGGTAGGCGACGGTGACGAGGATGGCGGGCAGCTCGGTGATGATCTCTCCGTCGACCGAGAGGGCCGGGATCAGCTTGCGCGGGTTGACCGACGTGTAGCTCGCGGGGAGGCTGTTGGGCTCGTAGCCCCGCGGCACAGTGTGCGATACGAAGCGCAGATTGGACTCGTGCAGCAGGACGTGGCCCGCCACCGAGCACGATCCCGGGCTGTACCAGAACTCGATCGCGGCGGCGACGTTGGCGGACGTGGACGCCATGTTGGCGGTTTACAGGCAAGAGAGGAATAGCGATGCGAGGGCTTCCGCAACGGCGCGACTCGATGTAGAGGGGATGATGGAGGTGCAGAGAGAAGAGCTGGGCTCGTCGTCGACCGCAATGCTCGAGCCAAGGAGCACGAGGTTGGCGACCCCCGCTTCAGAGGTCGGGAAGTGACTGATCCGACGTGTGGTCCGGCATTGCCGAGGCGTGGTGCCAGGCCCTCGGTCTGCGGCGAACCAAAAGAACGTCCGCCGGCCGACTCATCCGCCCATAGTTGAACGGCCGAGGGCTCATCCCACGCGCCAACATCGCCAACGCAGCTAGACTTACCAGGGAGCATCGATGCCGGCGACATCATCCCTGACATTGCCGACTGCTCTGCGCGTCGTCGACGAAAGCGCACCTTCAGACCCATCGGCGGCACCTCGCACTCGTGTCCACGAGGCAGCGTCAGCAGTCGGACGTGGAAGGGAAGGCCAAGAAGCCTCCGGGCGACTCCCTCGCCGATTCTTTGTCGACGCACGGCGGCGGTGGGGTCTTCCCGTCCCGTGTTTCAAAGGAGCGCCACCGGAACGGGCGAGACCATCCCCGGCCGATCAGCAGCGCCGGTCAGCAGCACAAGATGTCGAACGTGATACCGCCTGTTTGGCCGGCCTTTGGCGGGTTGGCAGCTCGTTTGCACAGGCTTCATCTCCTGTGCATCGTCAATTTCCGTCTAAGCGACTGAGGAGGCGTCTAGTCTTCGGCAATGGTGCGCAGCTGGGAGGCACATGAGCAAGACGACAGGGGAAAGAACGCGAGCTGGCTGGTCAGTCTTGCCTGCGGAGGAAGGACGGCGAGGGCGCCTGCGGCAAACAGTCGTGACTTGCGCGACACTCACCTGCAGGCCGTGGATGTCTTTGATGACGTCCTTGAGTACGCTGTTGACGAGGCGATGTGCTTTGATGGTCGAGAGGCCCTTGAACTCCTTTGACGAGATGGCGATGGCGTAGAAGGAACCGCAGCCGCCTGGCCGTCGCGCGTGGGGGTTTTAACGGGGTAAGGACGTGACAAGAGAGCGACAGAGAGGGTCGGTAAGCTCAGCCCCTGTGTCCGGACGAGGCGAAGCGTCTTCTGTGCCGACAACGTACCGCTGACATCCTGAACCTTGAGCTGTGTCGGCTTGAAGCGCTTGGTGAGTAGCTCGAGGATGAGCTGCTCTCCCGTCGTTTGCTGCTCGACCTGCTTCTGGCCGTCCTGTTGCGTCGCCGTCGTGCTCGCGTTGGATCGGAGAGGGGTCGAGGAGAAGAAGCGAGGCGCCGACGTCGTCGCCATGGCCATGGCCGTGGGCGATGCCGAAGAGGAAACTAACGCCGTCGCCGATGCTGCGGCCGCCGACTGGGCGAGGGTATGGCGCGACACAGGCAGGCGTCGAGCTGCTAGGCGGAGCGGAGCTTGCATGGCGGTGAACGACATGACGGGAGGTAGCTTCGATGTTGGATGTGGGAGTAGCGCGAGTGTGGATGCCGGTTGGGAGTGCAGGTGAACGAGGCGAGCCGGTCGCTCCCAGGTACCAAGTGGAGCCACGGCCGGGGGTGGGGATATATTGGTCATCGCTGCAAAGTCGGCTTCGGCCTTCGGCCCTCGGAAGTCGGTCGGGGACCCGGTAGAAAGCAAAGCAGGCGCGCTGCACCCTTTCGCTCCCCTCGCCTTCCTCGCCCTGTGCTCTCCGCCGCAGTCCTTCCTTCTTTCCTCTTTCCTCCTTGCTCCTCTCGCCCTCTCCTCTCGCCCTCTCCTCTCGCCCTCCCCTTTCGCTCTGCTAAACCGCACCACCATGATACCCACGCCGGAGCTTGGCCACCTCACGTCTCAAGATTACCGCAGGGTCTATGAGCCCGCAGAGGATACCTTCATCCTGCTCGATGCCCTCGAAGCCGACCAGGAGCGCCTCCAGCAGCGGCAACCGCGCCTCTGCCTCGAGATCGGCAGCGGATCCGGCTGCGTGTCCGCCTTTCTCTCGAAAGTCGTCGGCGCGACGCAGGCAGGTGAGGGAACCGCAAAGGGCGAGGCCACGCCCTGCCCTTCCGCCGCTGACCGTCGCGCGCACTTGCCTCTTGCAGCCTACCTCTGCATCGACATCAATCCCGAAGCCAATCGATGCACCAGGCTGACGGGAGACGCAAACGGGGTGCGTGCATGCCGTTGAGGGTGGACTCGGCTCTCGCATGGTAGCGACGGCACCTGACCGGCAGCTCCTCAAACGTCCCTCTGCCGTTCCCATCAGATACACCTCGAAGCGGTGCGCACGAGCTTGGTGTCGTCGCTGTACCCTCGGCTGCGCAATTCGGTCGACGTGCTCCTCTTCAACCCGCCCTACGTACCCACCGTGGAAGAGGAGGAGGCCATGGCCCAGTCGCAGGCGGACCTGTCGGGCGCGTGGGCCGGAGGAGCGACGGGGACCAGGCTGGTTGACCAGCTGATCGACGGAGGCGTCGTCGAAGAGGTGCTGTCGCCCGGCGGCGCCTTTTATCTCGTCGCCATCCGACAGAATGACCCGCCGGCGCTGTGCAAGAGGCTGCAGGAAAGGGGGCTCGACGCCGAGGTGAGTGACTGGAATGACGAGGGACACGGTCGCCCGGTAAAGGCCAGCGCTGGGCTCACTCTGTTGCCTCTGGCCCCTCTCCTCGCCTCTGCTACCTGACGCAGGTCGTGCTGGCCAGGCGCGCCGGTGGCGAGCATCTGCACGTGGTGCGGGCGACAAAGGCTTTCGTGCACCAACGATGAGGGGCTGTCGTCACGCCTGTCGCGGACGAGGGCGGGCGCCCGCATCGGCGTGGCCTCCCTCTCCCTCATATCCGTCATCTGGGCGTGTAGATGCGGGCAGGCAGGTCAGCCGAGATGCGTATGGTCCTCATTTGCGAGGATCGATGCTGGTGGTGGTGGTGGTGGTGGCGGTGAAGGTCAGGGTCCGGCGAGGCCCGCGGCGTGGCGCCAAAAGGCGCGGCGAGCACGTCAGAGGGCGAAGACAAAGGGGCCGGCAGCCCACGCCAAAGTGGAGGCTAACCAGGGTTGCACCCGCCGGGCTGCTTTCCGATGTCGATCCCTTCCCCCCGCGCCTTCCATCTTGGCACCCATCCACGACCTACGCACCTCCCTACAACCGCCGCCGCTCCCTTGCCTGCCACCACTGGCTCCCATCTTTGTCCATCCGGCCCTCACTTGACTTCACCGCCATCGCCATCGCCATCACCATCGCCATCGCCATCACCATCGCCACCGCCACCACAGCCGCCACCACTGCCATCCTGCCTCGGCATCCGTCTGCGTCGACCATGCCTCTGACCGCACCCGACGAAACCTCGTTGCCCGACATGCCCGTCAGCCGCTCCCTCATCCCCTCGCTTCCACCCCTCCTCTACGGCACCGCGTGGAAGACGACATTGACCAGCCCCCTCGTCCACCTCGCTCTCTCGTCCGGCTTCCGCGGCGTCGACACTGCCGCGCAGCTCAAGCACTACCGCGAGGACCTCGTCGGCCACGCCATCGACACCCTCCAGGTCCAGGGCACCCTCACTCGCGAGGAACTCTGGATCCAGACGAAATTCACCCCGCCCTCGGGCCAGGACTGGAGCGGGCACGTCCCGTACACCAGGGACGACGATGTGGCCACCATGGTGCGCAAGAGCTTCGCCAGCAGCCTCCGAGCCCTCCATCCTTGGTGGAAGGGCGACGTATCCCTCGGGCTGGTCCCCCAGGGCGAGGGCGAGGGCGAAGGCAGTGCTCAGGGCAACGGCAGCGACAAGGACAAAGGCAAGGGCAAGGAGAGAGAACACCCCGAAGTCAGCGACGAGGCAGACGAGGCCAAAACCGATGCCAGAGCGACAGCCGCTGACGCCCAACAAGCGGTGACGGCAGCGCCCGCGATACCGACCACGTACCCCGCAGGGCATCCTTACATCGACTCGTACCTTCTTCATTCACCGCTGGGCACGCTCGGCGAGACGCTGGAAGCCTGGACGACGATGGAATCCTTTGTCGATGCCGGGCTGGTGCGCAGGATCGGCTTCAGCAGTGAGTCGCCTGGGCCATGCCACCTCCTCCCACCGGCTGCAGCCCGTCCGACCACTCACCTCGTCGCTCCATCCTCCTGCCTTTCTGGTACCTCTCCCTGCTGATGCGGCGATCAGACATCTATGATCCGACGATTCTCAATGCGCTTCTGACCTCGTCGCGCATCCCCGCCTCGATCCTCCAGAACCGGTGGCACCACACGACTGGCCACGACGTCTCGTTGCTGCCGCGCCTGTCGCCCATCCTGTCGCCCAACGACTTTCCCCTCTCGCCCACCGGCCAGCGCGCCGAGGGCATTGCCTACCAGACCTTCTGGACCCTGTCGGGCAACCCGCGCCTCCTCTCCTCGCCGGCCGTCGACGAGATCGCGACAAGGCGACGCCTCACGCCCCAGCAGGTCGTCTACGCCTTTGTCAGGGCCGGCCTCGGCTTGCCCGGCCTCTCTACCACTGTGCTCTGTGGGAGCACAAACGAGCTGCACATCAGGCAAGCCGTCGAGGCCGTGCAGGTCCACCTCGATGAGCAGGAAACCGATCAGCTGCGAAGGGAGGTCTACGGCGTCTAGCGGCCATGTGCCAACCGACCCACCCGGCCCAGGGAAGCGAGGAAGAGGACGGCGCCTAGACGCCTGGGCCAAGACGCCGGCGTTATGGGCCCTTGTGTTGCAGACGATCGCATCGAAGACGAAGCAGAGGCGGGCCATCTGTGCGAGCGCGACGCCTCGTCTCCGCTCCGGCCAGCGCGCTCCGTCTGGGTTGGTCAAGGAGGGGGTAATCCGTTTCGCCACCTTCTACACCGTCACTAGAGCACAATGTCCCTCGTCGCCTTTCGCCCGCGCTCCTCAGGCTCCCCTTCCTGTCCCTCTGCGGCGCCAGCCGACGCTGCGGCAGCCTCCTGATCACTTCCGTCCTCTTGTTTTGCATCCTGGGCTTGCGCCGATGCCGCCTCGGCGTCGTCGAGCGACAGCGCCTCGAGCCTCTGCCGCTGAACGGGTTCCGATGGGGCTGGCTGAGTCGGGTTGCTATCGCTGCCGACCGCTGTGGCCACGGAGGGGAGCGAATTCACGCCGTCTCCCGCTGACGTCGTCAGTTGCGCGGTTGCTGCGGATGCTGCGGATGTTTGCTCGGCCGGTGTCCTCGATAACGAAGGCGCCCCGCTCGAGCCGAGCACGACGAGTGGACCATCGGCGGTCGGTTGAGCCGCAGCGTTCCGAGCTGTTGTCGGATCCGGTGGCGCCAATGACGGCGCATCCTCGTCTGCAGCTTCGGCAACATCGCTTTCCGACTTGGCCTCGCCGTCTCCCTCGTCTTCGTCGTCATGCTCGGCGGCACCGGCTTTGGCGTTGCCGCCCTCGGACTTGTCCTTCTTGGCGCCCTCCTCGCTAACGTTGCTCTTTTTCTCGACGGCGGCCTGATCGAGTCTCATGTGTCGCATCCGCACGCTCTGCACCACATCGCCCTTGCCCCTCGGCAGCGCGGGCAGCTTGAGCCTCTTCCTGGCCACCATGACGGGCGCGCTGCTCTTTTGCACGAGGTAGTGACTCGTTGAGCCGAGCAGGATACCGCGCAGCGACCCGAGGCCACGCGAGCCGACAATGACCATAGTGGGTGCGTAGAAGTCGATGAGGTCGAGCAGCATGTGGCGCGAGTTTTTGGCGTGGATTGCCTGGCACGAGATGCGGACTTCGAGCCGCGTACGCTCGAGGAGGTGCGTCGCCTGCCGCGCCAGCACAGAGGCCATGCCCTGCCGGGTGCGCTGATGCTCCATGCGCGCAGCGTGCGGCTCGTGCGCCGGGTCGAGCGCGTCGAGCTTGGTGTCGGTCTCCATGACAGAGACGACGAGCGTCTCGTCGCCATCCCGCAGCACCGTGCCGATGGTCCATTCAATTGCGTACGAGGATTCCCTGCCGACGATGTCCAGAGCACGTGGTGGAAGACGAGGGCGGGAAGGAAGGCAGGAAAGACACGGTCAGTTCGTCCGCGAGGCTGCGCCGCTTCGGGTTGCCCGACGCTGGTGTGTCGGGAGCTGCGGCGCCGCACCAAATCTCGGCCCTGGTCGACTTACTCGCTCCCATCGCTGGCGACAATGTAGCGTTTCGGCCGCTTGCTCTCTTTTGCCGCCGTGTCGTAGTCGCCGTGGACGAGAGTGATGGTGCAGCGGTTGCGCTCAAACAGCGGGCGGCTGATGTCGAGCGCCATGATCTTGCTGCCGCGTCGCTGGATGTGCGGGCCGACCTGCTGCTCGGCAAGCACGACGTTGGGCGCGGTGATGTGCTCGTCGTCGTCGTGCTCGAGGTTCTCGTCGATGTAGGTGTCGTGATGGTGCGAGTGGCCGCCACCCGGTGTGCTCCCAGCGCCGCCCTGGACCCAGTCTTCGTGTAGGTCGAGGCAGCCGGCATTGAACAGCGTGTTGTCGAGCAGCTCCGGGTCGACGTCGTCTTCGTCGTCGTCATCGCCCTCGTCGTCATCGGTGTCGTCGTCTTCGTGTTCGCCGCGGTCGTCGTGTTCGTCGTCGTCGGTGTCGTGGTGCAGCCGCTGCGCCTCGTCGCGGGCATCGATGACGTGCGACGAGCCTACAGCGTCGGTCGAGGTCCTGCGCGACGACGGGCCGGCGCCGTCGTCGTCAAACTCGACGTTGAATGCGTTGTTGCGCGGCGTGATGCCCGAGCCTGTGCTGCTGGCCACCGACTCTGCGTCGCTCTCGGCGCCGTTGGAGTCGTCTGCGTCGTCGTCCTTCTTCTTCGACGAGGAGCGGCTGTACCTCAGCCGGAAGGGGCTCATGCTGCGCGCCTTCAGCCGGCTGCGTTTGGACCTCTTGCCTCGCGAATCATCGTCGCCGCCCTCCTTGTCGCTGCCGTTGTGGTGAGAAGAGGATGCGTTGGCAGTGGACGGGTGGGCGTCCTCCTTGAGCGCCTTGATGCCAAAGGGGTTGTTGTGATGGCGCGTGTGGCCGGACGCATCGGCGGACGAGTTGAATGCCATTGCAGGTGCGAGGGCGGCGGTGAGGATCGAGGCGGCCGCCGCCTGCTGCTTGTCCATCGATGGCATGCTAATGACGTCGCTGGCCGCTTTGCCGTGGAGGTGGTTGCGGGGCTGATCGCGGAGCTGGTACCGATGACGAGCGGTACGAAAAGGGGTCCCAGCGAGGCGATGCTGGCGATGCTGCTAGTCGGGATGTGCGCCCGGCGGGGGGGGGGGGGGGGGGGGTGAACTGAGGCAGCTGAGCTGCGGGTTCGCAGCAGTCGATTGGCTGCCCGGCTGGTAGCTGTGATGGGACCGAGCGGCGAAAACGATGTTGTATGCGCGGTGTACGGAAGGGGAGCGGATTTTCGGCAACGAAGCGGGGGCGCCAGATGCCGGCTGCTTTGAGTGTTGTGAAGAGCACAAGAGGGGGCCAGCGGAGCGGGGCTGGTCGATGGATTTGGTTGCGGTGGTCAAGACGCAGCAGAGAAGTGAGATGGCAAAGAGCAAATGAGTGGCAGAAGGCTGCGATCAGCTGCGCGAGGCGAGGCGGGTGGTGAGGGGTGAAAACGCCCGAAGGAGGCGAGAGGGAGAGGGGGAAGGAAGGTGACGGCGATGGGTTGGTCAAGTGGTGGTGGTGGTGGTGGTGGCAGGAGCGAGGTGGGGGAGCTTCCGCTGCCGGCGCGGGCAGCCTGCGCATCCCGTGCTAGCCCAGCCCGGTTCAGCCCAGGCCAGCCAGTTTCGACTGCCCGATGCCGCGACCCGCCGACCCCGCAACGCTGCACCCGAACCCCCTGGCCTAATAGTCCCGCCTTTCCGGCGAGCAAGCCCAACCTTGGCCAGAGGCAGGCCGCACTTGATTCACCTGCCCTGCCCCGCCCGGGTGCCAAGCCTCGACCACCGACGCCGCTCGACGACCGTGCCCCACCAGCCCACGCCTCGATCCATCGCTGCCGTCACGTCCGGCCAGGCCAGGCCAGGCCAGGCCAAGCACAAGCAAGGCGATGCCGGCCTTCTGAAGGAAGCCCCCCGATTTTCGCAACATCAAAAGCTTTCTTCGCACGGCTACACAGGTATACATACACACGTCCGGATGGGCGGACACGGGCCGCAAGGGGGTCCGAATGCGAGTCGGGGCGGGGCTGGTTCAGGGATTAATAGCGGTGATGCGCGGGAACAGCGGTCGGGCTGCCGCACATTGCCACGTCTTCCGGCGAAGCTGCATCGCAACGGGAGACGGCGGCGGCGGCGGCGGCACCACCTGCGAGCTTGACAGCGGCAGCAAAGCATCGCCCGCGCGCGTGACCTGCGCGCAGCGCAGCCGGGAAAGAGGGGGGTCGGGGCGCTACGTCTTGCGGAAGCATCGCGTCGTGTTGCGCTTGATCCAGTAGATGACGCACCCGATGAATCGGAAGAGCGAGAGCCCGAACGTGGCCCAGAGAATGGTGCGGAAGTAGAGCGACTGCTTGTCGCTCTGCTGTTTGTCAATCTGCTTGTCCGACAGGCCGCTGTTGTAGCCGTTGACGTTTTCAATGGCCACTGTCAGTGCGCCGTTGGTCAGCAGCCAAAAGGCCACCAGCCGGGTGCGGAACGTCTTGTTGCTGTCGTCCATCGTCGGCTTTTCGACCACCGTCTCGGGCTGGAAGGGTGCTACGGCGCGCGACACAACCTCCTTGAAGCTGTTGTCGATGTCGTCCTGGTGGCGCTCAATCTCCTCGACAGTGCCCGGCTCGGTGGCCTTGTCCTTTTTCGTGTCGACGCTTGGCAGCGCGTCCGCCTTGTCCGAACCCTTGGTGCCCCAGCTGACGTCGTGCAGGTTGCAGAAGGCGTAAACGTTGAGGATGTTGATGAACGAGGGCGCGATGAGCATGTACTGCGGGAAGCTCGTCAGCATGTGCCACGGGTCGGCGTACATGATCGACGCGATCAGGTAGATGCCAAACGTGGCCGCGAGCGCCGCGATCAGCACCGAAGTCGTCTCGTTGAAGATGATGTCGAGCACCCGGCCCGACGTCAGGTTGACTTCGGCCAGCGCCTTGATCGTCAGCCAGAGCGACACCACCGTCACGTAGAGGCCCAGCAGGCCAAAGACGAAAAACGACACCAGATATGTCGCCTTTTCGCCCTTGGGCCGGTTGCCAAGCGCCAGGACAAACTGGAGGACCAGGAAGGCGACGTAGATCCACTTCGTCGCCAGGTTGACCCAGTGGAAGATCTCGAGCGGCGTCTCGCCGGCATTCTTGAGGATGACGTCGGGCAGAAAGTCGATGATGATCGAGAACGTCAGCCAGAGGTTGGCCAGTGCGAACCAAGAAAAGAGGAGCGTGAAGGCGTTGTAGAGCGCCTGGAGGTGAAAGAAGAAGAGCCGCACGATGCCGTGGTTGCTCTTGTAGATGCGGAAAAAGTGGACGAGCGAGTAGATTGAGGCGGCAAACGAGCCGTTGAGCCACCGGCGCCGCTGCGAGATGAGCTCGGCCGCTCCCTCGGGCACGTCGGTCTCGCCCTTGCTCGGCTTGACGTAGGTCAGCGTCCACCTGTCCCCCGCCTTGGCGACCAGCTCGAAGCACCTGCACGGTGCGACAGCGACACAACGAACAATAGGTGAGCAAAGTCCATCCCGACCCCCGCCGTCCAAAAGCGTGTGCCTGGCTTTTCCACGAGAGGGAACTTACAGGATTCGGTCCTCGGCCAAAAACATATTCTTCGTGAAGATGTCCATGCCGTGAAGGCCCTTTTTGCCAAGTCGATCCGCCATCGTATGGTCTCCGTGGAAATACTGCTGCAGGGGCCTGCCCTGGATGGAGCGGTAGCGGTACGCGCTGAACGCTCCGGGCAGGACGCTGACGTAGCCGAACGTCGACTCGAGTGGCTTGTCTGTTCGGCCAAGTGGGTTCGGGGACGGGGGAAAGGGACGGGTTCCGTCAGTCCGGCTGTAGCGCTACAATTTGAGGTCGCAGGCGGCAAGGATGGTCGGGCTCACCGAGGATGTTGGACATCTTGTACTCGAAATTCTGGGCGGCCACGAGCGGGTTGACGAGCTTGCGGCCGTTCTTGATCATGGCGTGGATCTCGCCGCACGCGCCTCCGAGGTTGGCGTTGTTGTAGAAGGCCTCCCAGAGGTAGTAGAGCGACTTGTGGCCCGGTTTGGTGCCGGCGTCGATCAGCACGCAGATTTCTGGCTGGAGGTGCTTGCCGAGCGCGTTGAAGAGCCAGCGGTGGCTGTTGATCTTCTTGCTGTTCTTCTGCTTGAGGCAGAAAATCATCTGGACGGGCACCAGGTTCGAGACGTCGTCGCCATGCGGTTGGATCAGCGCCGGCGTCGGATCGACCGAGAGCTGAGTCGTGTACTCGAACAGGTGCGCCACCGTCTCCTTGCCGTCGACCTTTTTCTTCATGACGCCGTCCTGGTAGACGCCGACGGTGGCGAGCAGGTCGAGCACCTCCTTGTCGCATGGATCGATGCCGTCAAAAATGAGGCTGACGACGATCCGCTGCCAGCCTGGCCGGCCCTCTTCGGCGCTGCGGCGCCAGAACTTGGACGCCTTGCTCTTGCAGATGTCGCGGATGTTGAGCATCACGCCGTGGAGCGTCCTGGCAAGTAGGATACGGTCCTCATTGTAGTAGCTGCAGGCGGCGGCGATGGCATCGGACCGGTCGGAGAGAAAGGCATGGGGCCGCCGCAGGTCAGCATCGGCGCGGTGCAACCGCCGTGCGGGCCGCACGGGGACGTCGCTCGAGGCCGACTCACGTGATGGCGATGAGCAGCTCCGTGTCGCGTCCATACATGCTCGAGGTGCGGAGGCTCCATCCGTTCTCGGTGGTAAACTCATCCGGATCGCAGGTGGCCGCCGTGTAACGCATATGGGTGAACTCGGTGGTGCGGGATCCCTGCGCCCACTTTGGCTCGACCGAGTTCTTGACGGCCGTGGGCACGGGGTGGTCAATGATCCAGTGGCCGCGCGTCAGCTTGACCTTCTTGGTCAGCCCTCGCTTGGGCGCCTGTTGTCTCTTGGCCCATGCCACCTGGCTCGCGCTATCCTCTGGACCCAACTCCGAGTCGAGCGGCGTGCCGTGCCGGTAGGGTGCGTGCGGCATCGGGAACGAGCTGGGAGGCGGCATGCTGGCGGATCGCCGCAGTGGAGGGTTCAGCGTGCCGGGGTGAGGTCGGGGCGCGGTGTCAGCCGAGAGGGGTTGCAGGACATCGTCACTGTTGCCGCAAAAGCTCCTCGCCTCCGCCTCTGTACTCACTCGTAGCTATTCGAGCCCGCCGGGTAGGTCGACTTTTCGTCTGCGTCGGTGAGCGGGATCTTCATCTCGTCGTCATAAGAATATTGAGCGTGCGTCTCAGAGGTGGGAGCATTGACGCTCATGAAGCTGGGGTTCTCGCCCCCGTAGAAGGGGTTCTCGGTCTCTGCGCCGAGACGGCCGCCGGCGCCACCGCCAAAGTGCTGATTGCTCCGGCTGCCGTAGCCGGCTGCGTCGCCGTACGGGCCCTGGTACCGCAGAGGGTCATCCTGCATAGGCGCGGCATCCGGGTCCAAAAGCGCCGTGTAACGCGGATTGCCAGGTCCAGAAGGAACGACGAAGCGCGGGGTCGACCGGTGTGCCATGTCATCCGATGAGGTTTCCGTTTGAGAGCGACAGGGATTCCAGTCCGGTCGCAAGGAGGCCGAGAGATGATGCGGTGTAATGCAGCGCAAAGGCAAAATGGCGGGCGCGAACGTAGGCAGAACAAGGTAGGTACAGATGTAGCGACGGGGGAGAGCAGATTGCAGGGTCAGCGAGTTGCCTGGGCGAGCGTTCCGATCGACTTATATGACCTTCGGCGACGAACGTGTCGGCGAGGCGAGGCGGCGAGTGGTCCTGTCACGCGAGAGCCCATCAGAAGGGGCGCTACTCACGTTGGAATGTCCTTGGCCGCTGCCCTGCCTGCCCCGGCCATAGTGGTCGTAGCTCATTCTGTGCCGTTCAGCCGCGAGGGCGGTCTATGCTGGATCGATGCGGCGGGGCGGGGGGTGATCCGGGCGAGGGCGGGGTCCAATGCCTGATCGACGTCAACCGGGGAAGAATGGGGCGACGTCTCAGCAGCGGGATCCTTGGGGGTGGCGGTCTATCGATGGCGTGGCCTAGTTCGGGTCGAGTCCTGCTCAGCGCGGTGCGAGCGTCGAAGCAGCAGAGTGGCTCCCGGATGACGAGGGAACGGGGATGTAGGGGAGGCGTCCGTGGTGCGCGAAGCCAGGGCGAAGAGTAGGAGGGCGGTGGTGATGATGGTGATGGTGGTCGTGATGGTGGTCGTGGTGGCAATGGCAACCAGAGGCAGAGCCCCACGGACGAGCTGTTCGCATGGCGAATGGCGAACGGCGAGCTAGGTCGAAACATGTCGGACGGGGCACGCAGGCACGTACGCCCCGTTATGCCAAAAGGCATCGGCTTGGCAGGCTCAGATGAGAAGCCGCAGACAGGCAGGCAAACAAAACCTAGCCTAGCCTAGCTCTTGGACCAGGCCGGCTGGACGGCGGCAGCGGCGGTCGGTGTTGGTCTGCGTGCGTGCATCTGTTCTGACGGCCTGCTGCCGCTAGCCGCCGCCGCCGCTGCTGCTGGGCTGTGTGTGTGTCTGCAATGGGCGGTGCTTGCTTGCTTGGCTCTGGTGGTCCTCTTCTCTCGCCTCCTCCTGAGCCCCTGCGGCTTCAAGGGGGTTCACGATTTCGTGCCTGGCGACGAGCCATCGCTTCGGTCAGTCTCTCTGCCTCTTCCCCTTGCTTGCCTGGTGCCGGGTGGGCCCCATGTCCGATCTTGCTTTCCCCTGCCGACCTGGCTTGGCCAGCCTCCCTTCACCCTCGCTACCGCCAGAGAGTCAGCCGCCCGCCGCTCTGCCCGCCGGACCCGACGACCTGAGAGGTTGCAATAGTGTAGAGTGATGGAGGCGTCACTTGTCGTCGCGGCGTCTCCTTTGGCAGCGCTTTAGCAACCCTCTCTCCCCTTCGTGGCCCGGTTTCGAGGGGGACAAGCAAGGCACGTACGGCTGCGCCAACGGAAGAGGCCCGCCCCGCCCCCCAGCCTCGGCAACTATCCGACCGAGCGACGTGCGCACAGCTGCCCGCCTGCATCCTGCCGCCTGCCGCCTGCTCGCCGTGCCAACCAACCAAAATCCCGGCAACCGTGCTGCATGCCAGACCAAGGCCTGCAGGCCCCCCAGAAAAAAGGGCGAGTGGTGGCAGCAGCAATACACACCGACCACCACCACCGGCTGGCCGCCTCTCGATCTGGCTGTGCCCAAGCCTGCATGCGAGACGGTCGTCGTCGATGTGCACAGCCCATGCCACGCCCATGCACCGCCGCACCTCTACGCCGCCTTGTCCAGCAGGCTAGGCTAGAGGTGGGCCTCCCAGACGGCGACGGCGGCCAGCGAGCGATAAATCTAGGCTCGCTGAGCATTGCATCCACGACCGAAGCGCCCGTCGGCCTCGCTCTCGATCGCTCCACCTGCTCGCCGCCCGCCCCTCTGCGACGTTGCCTGCCCGTCCCTCCGCGCTCCTCGCAGGCGGTCGTCGCGCAGCATTGCAACAGGGGGTCAGCGCATCAGACGCACGGCGGCGGCGCTCGCCAACGACGGGATGCAGATATCCTGGCAACCTTCGTCGGTACCTTCGCCTCAGCGTGTGCCTAGATCTGGAGCGCGAGCTCAAGGGAAAACTGCAAGCAGGATCGAGGTACCGCCGGAAGGTCGGGACGCCCCTCGATGGCGGCCTCGGCGAACAACGTCCGAGGCAGATAGCGCAGCGACATCGTGACCCGACCGACGGGATAGATCAGGGTGTGAGTCTGGGCGGGCCGGGAGCAAGCAAAACAAGGACGACGGGTGACAAGGCAGCGAGGGGCGCGCGCGGCGCAGGGTATGTAGCTAGGCCCAGGCTGGCAACTCGCGCACGCCCAAGCAGCCGCGCGACGAACACCGCCTACTCCATCGCTCGCATGATTCAGTGTCTACCATACCGTCTGCAACATAATTGCTTTCTACTGTGTGGCCTTGGGCAGCTGGCAAAGGTCTGGGTGCCAAACGTGGATCAGAGACATAGTCAATACGAAGAGAATAGA